TTTACGAGTTGCTCCGTATTTCAGCAGTCTTTATTGTCTCTTATGAGTCCTATGAAATTATATCACTAAAGAGAGAACTTTTTAAGATATTTTTGTTTACTTGCTTATTTGAAAAAAATGAGCTGCATAGCTCTTTGAAGTTCATCCTCTGCAAGAAATCACTGAAGTCCATCACGAGCTTTACTAATACGTTCACGATCCTTAATATCAACAACAAAAATAAGTCATGGAGTGTTTGAAATATAATGCCGTCATAATGGACGAATTTTTTTCTAAATCAAAAAAGAATAGTAAAATTAGTATTTTTATATTCTACTGTTTCAACGTTAAAACCTAGTGATAAAAAGAGGATGCTTCTTTCATTATAATAAGCGCAAGCTACTGACCAATAGTTTCAATAGTTGCCACAACTACTCCTAATTAAAGTTTATAAAGAAGTGTTGTCCTACCTAAAAACAAAAACAAGTTCAAAAATGTTTTTTTCTTTAAATAAAACAAACCAACAAGATCAAAATCAAGCCTAGAACTCATTTCTTTTTCAACAAATAATTGTAGCAACGTATATGAAATTTTTAACTTTCTTTCTTTTTCCATTTCATAATCAATCTAAAATACGTACGAATAAAAGAAATCCTGAATGATTAGCTCAAAATTTTAAAAAATCAAGAAGATAATGGTTCACTATAAAAAAAAATATTTTATTCAACCGTTCGCTTTTGCAAACCATAACCTATAGGATTGGGGTTTGGGTGTGGATATGGGTGTAAGTTTCGATATGTGTCTTCTTTACACGCAACACCAACATTCACACCCTGATTTGCAATATTTTTACATCAACTTTGATCCGTAATTACCTTACCGCCAAATCGCATCACTTAAAATATGTATGAACGTACTCATCAATGCAGGTTATTTTGATGAGGGCTGACAGCCTTCTGCAATGAGAAATGTCTATGTGAAGGATGAACGAATCAAGTACAAAAAGGTGAAAACTATTCTTTTTCTTGTAGTTTTTTATTCCATATTTGCTTTTTTTCTTTTTCTTCCTCCTCTTTTTTTCGTTTTTCTCTATTCACGGTATTTCATTTTGCTTCTCAATATGTGTATCATAAACATTGCAAGTGCTTTACCCACGTGGTTGTTGTTATTATCCATTACATCGTAAAAAGTAGGCAATTTTGTTTTTCTCTGATTCTTGCCTCTGACAAGCTGATGTAAATTATTTGAATCGTCATGAAATGAAGTCTGCTGCTTGTCAACTACTGAATTGTTGTTGAACTCGTTTTATTAGTGCTGAATTTTTCATTATTATGTCATAGGCGTTGCAAAACTGCTAGGATCAAAAAAAGTATTTAAAACAAATCAGGTAATGGGTTTTTAGTATTGAATAATCTACAAAATAATTTACAAGAAATGTTTGCCGTGAATTTGAGTATCCGTATAATTCTTCTATTCGCCTATTCAACCAATCACACTCATACTCACACACTCACACCCTTCTAATTGAACTAAATTGCATTTTACAGTGAATAAAAAATTTAGAATTGTGAAAAACTAGCGTTATAAAATGACACCCGAATATATTAAGTAAACTTCTTAAGCTCCTCGAAAGATATTGTTTTTTGAAGTTATACCTATTTTGTGGAACTCACATATATTTTCGAAGAAAATAGTGAGTGTAAGTTTTAAGGTCAAGGTTTCGTGCTCCCCCCCCCCCGCACCCTTTATAGACAGGCCTCCATTACAGACACCCCTCATTACAGACCGTAGCAACTTCGCCAAAAAAAGAAAAAAAATTTGTTCGAAATAAAGAGATAAAGACGACAGCATTTTGTGATAATTGATTATCTTTGAAAAGAACTATTATCTTTTGGAGATTTTAAATATTGGGTATTTTGTAATTAGTATAATGAAATCAAAGAAGATATGTGAGTTCCACATTTCAGCCCCAAAGGGGCTGCGCTACCAAGCTTTTTTAAATACTATCACATGTCAGATGTCAACAACAATATTTAAGATACGTATCTGACAATTATGATGACAGTAAATCTAAGGATAATATTTCGAGTCATTGTTGTTCCAGACATAGCCGAGTGTATTGAAAACCCCAAGTTAATTTCTCAGCATAAAACTCTGCATTGAAATATATTTCAATATTAACAACTCAAGAATACGTCGATTTAAAATATTTTGCCCATCGTTCCTTACTGATAGATAGTTGCTGTAATCCGTTAGGTTTTTTTTCGTAGCAGTATCCGATCCATCTCAAATCGAAGGCAAAGTGTTGAAGTATATGAAAAATCATCTCCGATCGTCGATATGATGTTTGATGAACGAACCGTTGGGTTCTCATAATGAGTTATTTCTGTCAGACTTCGACTTTATTGTTTGGTCATAATTAATTAAAGGTTAAACATCAGTTTTAGAACAACCTTTCAAAAACAAAAAAAATTTAAGCACTGTTAGAACCGATCCTTTTTGTCTTTTGATAGAGATATACATCATTGTATAAAGTATATAATCGGTTTTTAAAGCGTTTCGCACTACAGATTCTATCCATACGGTTTCTATTTTAATGTCTGTATACATATGTTCGATATGATTCATAAATAGCAAACATATTTCCTTGCTAATCTATAGATGTTTTTTTCACACATAATACGAGATAATCATTTTTTCCTTTTTTCACACACCTTTTCTAACAATAAAAATAATTTGATGCTTTCATTAAAGTGTTTTTCCAAAGAAAAGTCCACTTTTGACTCTTGCATTCTAGATGACTGAACACTGTACTGGTTTTAATGCGCATCAATTCAAGTCAAACATATGTCGTGACTGCTTTCAAGATAAGCAACATCATGAGAATGGTGTAACTTCAAATGAACATACTTCATATGATATTCAAACACCTACCTATCATGAAGCAACTGAAAATAATGACCAATACAAACAGAATCAGACAGCTACGAATTCTCAGCCAATAGCTATTCAAACTTCTTCTCAAGCTAGGCTTTCACAGTGTAAGAACGGTATTTCATGTTATAGTACGGACAGTAGCCATTTTGAGCAATTTTTGCATCCGTCAAGCCACACAAACCACCAAAATTCGAATACGAGTTTGTTACAGGAGAAGACCAGTAATAAAATTGCTCGCAATTGTGCAAGTGAACAGGATATGATACCTTCGAGTGAATTATTACCTACAAAAATACTTCCACAATGTAAATACGGTTTGGCATGTTATCGAACAAACCCTGATCATTTTGAACTCTATTCACATCCACCTGACTATAAACGAAGAGAAAAATCCTGTGAGATAGGTAATGTTGGTATCCCAGTTATTAACAGTGGCAGTTCTTCTCAGATGAAATCTGCATTTAGTCCTGCTAGCGAACGCAAGCTTAAACTTGTAAAGAAGCTTGATGAACAGAAGAAATCCGAACTTCATTTCGTCAAATTGATAGAAAATAAGATACAAAGCTTGATTGGTCAGTTCGAATTAAAAGCGGAGGAAGTTGCAAAATTGCGTCAAGATCTAGATAAAATGGTTATGTATAACCAAAAATTAGAGACGGCGCTTAAAGTGGAAATAGATCAACGTGAACAACGCGAACTAGAACGAAAACGAATCTTGACTATTTCGAGACAGACACCATCTTATTGGGGCCCGAATGTATTTGAGGAACCTTATCGTGAAATAGAAATATCAGCTCAATCTGCAGAATATGATATTATCGAACAGTTGATGAATTCAACAATATCAAAACATGGCCATCAATACGGAACAGTTAATGGACGAGATCCAACGGAATTTTTGATAAATAGAATAATACAAATACAAAATAATGAATTATGGCATCTCTATTGCTTTAAAAAGGTGAGATTAGGTTCTATAAGATCTGAATGGGGGGGGGGGGGGGGGGGGGGGTGTGTTTTTTTTTTTTTTTTTTTTGTCTTGTTTTGGGGGGGGGGGGGGGGGGGGGGGTATGTGTATGTAATGTTCTCTTTCGTTGCTATGGTCTGTAANNNGGGAGGAGGTCTCTTTTTGTGAAGCCTGTCGAGTATTTCTTCAGAGCTGCTACTCAAACCGAAAATTAGATAAGAAAATGATACTGATTCAATCATTAAAAAAAATCTGTTATGTTCATTTTCGAAAAACAGAACTGAGATGGTAATGCACAGAGTGAAGTTTTTGATTTCATCATAATGCCACGTTAAACGAGTCCTAACCAACTGAAGAGTAAGGAAAAATTACGAGAGACGATCATACAAATCAGAAATTTTTACAGCTGTTGAAGTTTAGTCAACTGATGAAAGAGAATTGAAAAATTCTTGTGAATCTCAAGGGACCATCAAAACATGAGGATTCCTTCAATGACATAACAATTGAAACTATTTTTCTCTTGACAAGCGCATACATTGTTAATGTTAAGAAAATTTCAAGATGTAACATATTGACATAGGAAGTCTAGAAAAAAAATGCTTGTCTTTTTAATAAACTGTTATGAATAAGTGTTTGAGAAAATCAGTTATTTCAGTGCATCGATGATGAAGTGACATTCTTAGAATTTCCTAATTTTTTGAAATAATTATCTCAGTAATAGTTTGTTTATTCGCTTTGAAAAAATACACTTGTTATACTGCACAAAAGCTTTATAGTTCTCATATGTTTTATAATTTTTTAAGATAAAAATGATACTTGACTTAGCCTTAGTGACGACTCAAACCTCTGTGTGTTCAAGTATGGATAAGTCAATATTGATATTAAACTAATCTTTGTACTAACTACTCATCACTCTTCTTGGATTTGAATACATTCTTGAGTATCAAAGCGACTTTTTTTGGAGAGACTGCCTGCTTATAATATAAATCATCCAGAAATGTATTCTAATAAGTACTTCCGTTTGTGTTACAAGGATTTCCATGTTTTGAAATTAATTAATTTAGGATGATAGATGTTTTTCAATCGATCGATTTCTATCCATTCTCTACTTTAGGACATGATCATTCGTCAAAATAATAATAGACTAGCCGATTGTGGTAGTTCAATTTATTTGGAAACTGATCCAGTACTGACACCTTTGTTAGACACAAAAACGAACGAATATTGGCTTTTTCACGGCTGTAGTCGAAATAATTTATATCACTTATTACATAGCGGCTATGATCCCCGTGTTTCCAATTTGAATGGTTTGTTTGGAGGTGGTTTCTATTTGGCTGAGAATTCTTCAAAATCAAATAAATATATTCCTTGTCCTGGATGCGGTCAAAACTGTGTAGGTGGTTCTATGGGATGCAGTTGTGCAGATCAAGAAGATCTCGAGTTTTCAATGGTTTTGTACCGTGCTGCATTAGGTGATGTGCATATTGCCCTGAAGTATGATAGAAAGAAATACAGTCATGATCCTACTAAGCAACTTATTCGTCGTCCCCCTAAGAAAGCAAATGGTAAAGATTTGTATGATTCAGTGATGGGTGAATGTATGAAATATGGTGGTGACCGATTACAGCACCGTGAATTCATTCTATATGATTCAGGACAAGCATATCCCGAATATGTTATTTATTTTCGACGTTCAGCTACAAATCTACGTCGCCCAATAAACATAAAAAATTTGAAAAAGAAATGTCAAGAATTTCTTAGTTAATCTAATTTAAATAGACCCTTAATACAATCGACCTTTTACATTTTTATTTGAAAATAAATAGAGATCGTCATTATAGTCACGTTGAAAAATAAATAAAAATCTCCTGAAACGTTCTTTTTCTCTTGACGAATGTGACCATCTAACAGTCCTTTATAATGATGTAATTTGAACCCAATAATAACGCAAAATGAAGTGGGTAATCGATGAAACATATGCCATAAGAGTTTTGAATAAAACAAAATTTCTTTTATCGAACACAATACCTAGTTTCAATTAGAGACAATACTCTTAATGCTTTGACAACATATGAATTTTATATGAAGGATGTGGGTGTGGATATCTTTGTCCTCGTGTTCAGATCCAACTCCACATACACCACCCATCTTCAAACTCTGGGGTCTTAACCAGTTCTGAATGCCTCAATACTGATATAAATTTTAACCGGATTAGTGCATGCTTAGTTGAGACATCAAAGATATTTCTTAGTATATTAGTACAGCAATACTAGTAACAGCAACAATCGTATGTCTCTGCTGAGGAAGCCTGAAAAACCGAACCATTTTTGGATGTTTTATAACTCAGTGAGGTCTATTGTTTGAGCATTTGGTCAATCCAATAGCGATTGGACAGTTGTGAATGTTCTCTCGTCAACGAATGAGGGAATTTATTCAAGCGTCGGTATTTTTCAAATCGATAGATGACTATTTCGTGGGTTAGTTTATAAGATTAAGCTAAATTCTTTCCCAGGGTAAAAGGCAATGCCTTCACAATGTGTCTTAGCATATCGCTACATTTCTTGTGGTCCTCTAATGGCAACCAATTTTTCAGTCGACTATTAACAAAGTATTTTTATTATATTAATAATGAATTCATTTTTCAGTTCAAGTATTTTACGTGGTTTTTTTAGGAAAGTATACTATGTTGCAAGGAGCCCATTATTAATGACGACTCAAGAGAACATCTTGTAAAGAATCACTGTAAAACCAGAGCATTCTTTCAAAATTATGCATTAATATTTTTGAAAAATGTTATGACTTTCTGAAACGTCACTTAAAATTTTCTTCACACATTGTCTTAGGCAGAAGGCACATTTCAGATGAATTAAATTACTTCATAATATTCGTAAATAGAAATTCATCATGAAAAATTAATTTAGTACAAAAGAATTCAAAGAAGAATGAAGAATAGAGTGAAATGATCTTGTACTCGTTGTTATGGTTTCGCCTTCATACTTTCCTCTGATTTCTCAAAGAGATTGTATCTTTCAGCATAACGACAACACGGATTGTATAACGAATGAAATAGTTGATCAAGTCATGGTACAGTTATACATAAATATTAAATATTGTTAATAAACATTTTCAATTGTGCTTTGTTAAGGTTCTCATGCGTTTATTAACAAATATCTTACAATTTCAACTGAAAAAATAGAGCTTGGAAATCAACAAGAACCGGGCACTATTGAATTATTGACAAAAACGCTGTATGCCACTGGCTTGATTATTGTATGAAAGATCGGTATCATTTCTAAAATATTTCAAATAATATTTGTATATATCTGTTGATTCTGAATGTCCAACAAGTGTAAAATTTTTTGCAACAACATTCTTTTTAATAGCGCATTGAATTAATGATTTAAATATGTTCATTGCCTTAACAGTTGTATAATTACCCGCAATACCAATACCTGTTAGAAAAAAAAAACAATATGACTTGAAATCTCGAAATGCTGACTGAGAAAACACTACAAAATCTCAGCAATAGAGCCTTTATATATTCATAAGTATCAAAATTCATCTAAGATTGTAATTACTTCTAACAAGGTTATGACAAGCTCAACATTGAATTGTTCTAGAGAGTTAACAAAAAGAAACTTTACTCACCCAATGATCTAGAATTATAACCTTTACAATGCGCACCAATATATTCCCATCCTCTACCCATATAAATTTGTTGTCTGTCATGATTATCATTACATATGATAAAACTATAACCAATATCATACCATCCTAATGTATCGATTTGATAATGTTGAAGTTCTTTAATTCTCTGAATACAACCTTGTTGATTCATAATTGAATTCGAACCTTCTATTCGTCTTACTACAATATATGTAACCGGGAATATTTTTAAATGGTCCCGATCTATATACGGACGTGCATTCCAGCTAGATCGATTTAATATGTTGGGACAACCTATAAGAAGTTGAAACTTACAGAAATGAGGTGTTTGAAATTCGGTGCTATGATGTTAATGGATCTGTCCTAGCTGCAGAATCCAAATCGGTCCCAGTTATAAAATAAACGTTTATTACAAATGGTGCTGCAAAAAGTTTGTATTAGCAAAATATATTTTGAAACTGTTGTCTTCTAAGGGAAGTCGTGAATGCTGCTGTCGCGATGAGTAGTGCTAATAATCGTGTGACATGGATAATATGAAATTACAGTCAATGGCAATATGTGCTAACAAGGAAAGAACGAATTTCGATTAATTTGCTTGCAATTCAAAACAAGTATTTTGTAGAAGTTTCGAAATTTTAGGTTGTCATAGGCTCTTCCCTGGGAAGCTTTTTCTGGTCTCACTTTTACCTAGTGGTAATAGATAGTCGTCATCAGCATTATTTCCTTGTGTAGACATTTTAATGTTTGTAGTAGTGTTTTTTTTAACAACGAAATAAAAAATGAATGTTGAACTTAAAGCCAAAAGAGAAACTAATAGCAAAAATCCACTAATGCTATTAAGAGAATATTTTCTTTGTTGCAATTTTTGATTTTCTTTGGGGTCTGTTATACTAATATCAGATAATAAAAATGGTTCTCTTTCCGATATTTCAATATCTAAAAATTTAATAAATAGACTTCAAAGAATAATTTTTTTTTTGGATACATGTGAATAAAAGTCTCTTACGTTCTGGTTCATTATTATTATTATTATTTAAATCTTCACATTCTTCTAATTCAATTTCAATTGAAATTGTGTTTGTTGAATCAAGATCATTTCGTATAATATTTATTACTTTAAAAACACTAAATGGAAGAATTAGAATTTCTTGTTCATCCGGTCTTATCGATAAACTTTCAATATTAATAGCTGTTGAATTTTGCTTTATTAAATATTTACATAAACATGAATATTGTAAAGGACGATGACTTTGATGAGTATGTCTCATTTGAGATTGTTGACCTACACCAGCAAACATTTCAGCTACTGTACGAGCAAGAGATGTTGATAAAAATGAATAATTTAATATATGTTGATTTACTTGATACTGATCTAAATCATGTTCTGTTATTGTCATACCGCGATAACATACACCTTGAAATCGATATTGAGGTAAATTCGGGTGATAAATTAAAAGCGTTACAATATGACTAAGGCAATTTACAAGACGATAATGATCTGAAAAATATTTTGTTTGATCGAAATTATCTAATATATAAAGAGCTAAATGCTTATTTAATTCTTCAAAAAAGCATGTTGTTGATGTATAAGCTTTTATGAAATATGTTAAATAATCTTGCTTTTCTATGGCTTCTTTAAAACATTCTCGAATTATTTCGATTTGCTTGCGAATATTTTGATGTTCCAAATTTTCAGTATTATTACATTGATTTATCAAATATTCATCTAAATAATAATCAATCACTTCAACTAATAATTTTGATATTAAATGTTGGTTGTCATAGTTTTTATATAAATCAATCATACGACGAAATTCACGTCGCTTATCAAGGAGATCATCACCTATCATGGACCATTCAATATAATTATAATCATTATTTGAACAAAATTGTTTTTTTTCTAAAAGTAATTGTTTTATATCATCTGTACTAGCTTCTTCATAAGGTGTTAACTTATGTGGTAAGTTTCTTATTGAACGTAAAGCTCCATATTGTAATAAAATGCGTGCTACTTCTAGATGTCCATAATAGCACGCAACATGCAAACATGTTGAACCGATTGAAGTGTGATTTTTATTTATGATATTTCTGTTATTGATAGTTTGTAACATATTTCGAACTTGTTCTATTTCGTTTTCTTTACATAAATTATACAATAAATTAATAGTAGTTGAATCATTGCCGCTATTATTTGATGAATATCGTGATAACATGATGATGAAAATAAAGAATTGAATTGCGGATAAATACGAGGATATTTTTAACGTATTTTATAAACTAAATAGTAAGAATATTAACAATGTTGAGAGAGAAATTCGTCGATAAGTGTATTAAAATTTTCATGTTAAATATCAAACGATTAATTATTAGCAACAACGCAAAAAGAAAACAGATTTTCATTACCTTCTACGGATATCCTTTGACATTCAACTTTGTTCAAAAAATAAAGGATCGATAGTGAAAGACATTGAAATCATAACATTTTTCTCCCTAGTTTACATACTTTTAATTTTCTTCCGTTTTTAAAACGCAGAACAGAGATACACACAATCGCGATGCATAATCGCAATACGCATCATTCACTTACCATAATGATGCTTCCTTTTTACGATGTTTTAATATGCAAAACGTTTATTGAAGTGTGCCTCATTCGTGATTAGTATATTCAAACATATCAATCACTTCTAATCCCGTACATGCCTATCGAGAGAAAGAAATCTAATAAATTTTCATACTAAATAAAGTCATAGAAAAAACGCTTGTTAGCAGTCTCAGTGAAGCTAAAAAGTCCAACACACATGGCTTCCTTAGCTTCACTATACTAATAAAAAATACAGAAAGCGTAAATTGCTGCCCTAGTTTTTATTTCCCTTGTTGCTATTCGCTTGTTACTTTTCTTCTTCGTATTTCGTTTTGTTTAATTTAATGTTGTTATGACTAATTTAAGCTATCTTTGATTAACAAAGAACTGTCATTCGATTCTCTATTGAACTCTATCGATTCATCTTTTTTACTTATTGTGTTAGCAAAATTGCACTTTGTTTTTCGATTCTATTTTTTGGTAAGATCAACACACAATATCGAAGAACCTATGTATGTCAGATCTGAACGAAAATATGCTTCCTATAATGCCTGGCAAAATGTACTTTATAGTACTACAGAGTATCACACTGCAAAAAACTAAAACACTTGCTGCCCTCATTTTTCAAACGAACCGAAAGTTCTGTAAAAAAAATAAAAACCTCAGTTTTTGTTTCTATTAGAGAATAGTTGCACTCCTACTCTGACTCCTGATGTTTAACTGAATTGAATCGTTCAATTGCTTCCGGATTTACAGTTCCTTTAACTTTTAGATTTCTGTCATTTTTTGCCTTTCAATTGTTTTGAATTTTCGAATTTTGAATGGATTCTGAAATCCAGAATTAATTAAAAAGATCCAAAATCGCTCAGTTTAGAACTAAGTAAATCAGTACTCGATGAACGATACTTGTTATGTTAGGGTCCTACTATTCTTATCGAATCTAATTTATGATCAAAATATCAGTTCGATTGATGGCTCATATTTCGAAGCCTTCTCTTGTTAATGATTTGCTAGATAATCCGAATGAACATAATGAAATGTTGATTATTTATTGCTTGAATAAGTAGCGAAAAAGAAAGCCTAAACTATATATAAAAAGAAGATTGAACGTAGATCATAATAGAAAATAAAATTGATATTATTTCTCTGCTTGTTTATGAATAAATACCTTGTAATGTTTAATGTACAGTATGCTATTCACAAATATCTATACATAGTTGATATTAAACAAAATCTAAGCTGAAATATGTTCTCTCCGGAGGAACATCATTTTCATAACCCTTGAATTTTAAATTGAACTGTGATGTTAAAGATATTAATGAAGATTTAACAGCAGCTTCAGTTCAACCTGAACGATCTAAATGAAATGCTTCATCTATTAAAGTAAATTAATATGTAGTAAATCGTTTTAATGGTTGAAATGTCCAGTTGATAATTTGTTTATTACTAACAACACTGTTTTCTTTTAAAAAATACCAAGCTCTCGATCATATCTGTGTAAATACTTTCGTTGTTCGTGGTATTTGAACATCGATAAATAGTGAGTACAAAATTCTCTTAGAATTTCTTGTATTGAATTCTCTTGTCATTACTTGGTAATAAGTGTCGACCACGTTTTTACACATAAACTGTCATCATAAACAGCTTTTGTCAAATTTTGTTGTCTTGCATATGAACGTCGAGAAGTTATTTAAATTAAATTGATACAATTTTTTTCTTGTTCAAACTATATGTCGGCTCATTCTGTTTTTAACAGGATGTATAATTTAAATAAAAAAATAAACTTACATTTATTGTTGAAGAAGCAAATCGATGTGTTTCACTAGAATTTCATCTATTGTTCGAACAAAATATTTTAAGTGATAATGACAAATAATTATTTATGAAATCAAATAAACCAACAATTAAATCTTTTTTCTTACTCAATACAGATCTAAAAAATAATGAAAGAAATAAACTTTATCAAATGAGTCATTTTCAAATGTTCTTTTTATTGTTCACACATAATTTTCATAAAAATAAATTCTTTTCTGTAGTAAAATAGCTAAAACTTATAAATACTTTACATAAAAACTTCATTTAAATTAGATACAATGAAACCTACATGATCATTTCTATCACAATCAACCTTCACTAGTGACGAAACTGTACCATCACAACATGATGTTCTCTAAATTATTCATTTTGCTTCTAAATAAAAAATAAACAAGACTCTGTCATCAACCATCCTTTGTTTTTTTTCATCGATATTTAAAGCAAGTATTTCTATTTGATGTCCATCATAATACTTCATTTTATTTGAATCATTATTTAAATGAATTATCACTAGTTTGAAATCTCTAAAAAGACCATATACAAACAATTAAAATAATAAGCAGGATTTGTAACTGAATCATCACGAACAAATAAATGAACATAAGGTTCATTTCGATGTGTTTCTACAAGTAAATGATATTTCTTAACTAATGAAATTTAAACGAATTGACGTGAACAGCCATACAATAAAATTGATAGAAAAACAGCGAATATTATAAACTTAACATGTTTTTCTTTCAAAGATCTGAATATCATGATCTTGACCACATATTACAAAATGACTAGAAACAATGTCAATTAGATATCTTTGAGATATCAATACAAAAAGAGGAATAAAGCGAACCTTTCATTTTCTGTATAACAAACATCGATCAATAGATAACATTGGAATTATTTAAACTTGAATTGAAGAAATTACTGATAAATAGAGATATAAACATCTGGTGTAGATGTATCTTCAGACAAGGTCGACATCCACAGCCGACCATTAACTCATATTTTTGTTTTCATAAGAAAAAGGTCCTGGCAAAAATTTACTCAACTCTAAAGAGTTATGTACCTCTGATTTAATTGTCTTGAGAAATTCAGTAATGATACAAGATCGTTAATATCTGAAGCAATAGTAACTCATTTTTTTATTAGTATTTCATATGATATTTATTAATTGCATCTTTTATATAAAAAAAAAATTATTTTTCATAATGAAAAGTTTGTGTTTTCAAATTTATTCATCAAATCGATGAAGTTACAGAAAACTTGTAATTCACTGATATTGTAATTTTTTTTTGGGTCATTGGATTAAAAATACTTTCAACATTTAGCACTTTTTTTATCTATTACTAATTTTAATTGTAGATATTCTATTATCTATTTTCTTTCTAATCAACGTCAATTCTCTCCCAAACTGTGTCAAAAGTAAATTGAAAAACATATACATCAAAGTTAAAATGCATGATACATATCTATTAAACATTTTGTTTGTAATTTTTAGATCCATTAGGTAATGACCATAAGCAATCATGACCTGATTTACAATTATCAACTTACAGAATATGACGTACTATTTGTAAATCTCGCAATAACTTACTGAATGGGTCATTTCTATTGTACTATAAATTATCTTTATTATTTTTGAATCATTTACATTCTATACATGATTGATTCACTGACAATAGTTCTTTTTTGCCAATATTTACTGGTATAAATTCACATACAGATTTGTTTCCTAAGCTATATCATGTCACATCATGCACACCATAAGCGATTCTTAATTTCTTAGTATTTGAAAAGAGAATTTGAGTGATATCTCAACAATAATTTAGAAGTACATGTGTTTAAAAGATGAATTTTCTATTGTCGTCCAATCAAAATTTTAGATAATTCTAGAAAAAAATCATTTAGAAGATGTTAAAATCTCAGCATAGAGGCCTCCAATAAGGCTAACAATTTGGTTCTATACCTAAAACAGGATGCTCTACAGGATGGAGTGGTCTTCGTGCAAATCCAAGAGTCAGACTGAGCGTCTCTAGGATGGTGTATGCAGAACGACTGTTATACTAAGTCATAATAAACATGAATGTTTATTAATTCCATAAAAAAATTGTAAATAATGAGTGTAGAGAAAATCAATTGAATTGGATCTGACGCTGACTAGTTAAAAGTAAAACTTATATTTCAAGTAAACAGAAAATCTCGTTGGACTATTTGTAAAAAATAAAATTGCTTGTTTGACTAAACCTTTGAACAGAAATCATCGAGCCATAAAATACTGAGGGAACAAAATCCGGTTATTTTAGTTATATTTTATATCGATTTATTGACATGAGTGATTTGCAGCTAATCGTGAACAATATAATTATATATATATATACATATCATTTTTCTCTCTGGAATGTTAGATACGTAAAGGTCTGTGTAAATGCGTGCATTTCTTCTATTTTGAAATAAAAAGGAAAAGAGAAAGCAAACATCTGATAATGACTAATATTTTTCACTTTCTTCAGTTGTCAAGCAAAAAAATACTTCGTGAAGAATAAATTCATTCGGCATATACTATTGACATTATTGACCAAAGAAAGAAGAAGAAAAAGAAATTTTGTATACACTAGTCTACTACGTCTGTCATCATACACTTCCGATGAAAAAGCATGGTAGAAACATTGAAAATAAAAAGACATAGACGTAATCTAGGTTTAAAAGAAAAATATGTTTAACCGTATAAAAAACTACCCGAAGAGAAAAAACCACATTAATTGATGAGTATAAAAGGCAAGTTATTTAGAATCAGAGCATGCTTTCCAACTATTGTACAGTTTC